AACCAAAGCCCTTGTTTACGGAAAGTATTTTGCCTTGAAGATTGGTCGGTCTTCCCCGCAAGTTTCAGCCGTCCCGTGTGCGGACATGCAGACGGTTTCCAGAAAACCTATTGCGGCTGGGGATGCATAAATCCATATAAAATAACAGGGAACCGCGGAGAGGTTCTGTTAATGCAATTCAAAGCTATCCATCGTCCTCCCAAATGCTTGTCAAGTCGCTGGCAAAATTCTAGAACGAAATGTCTAAAGAAGAAGAAGCAGAAGAAAAAGAAGCCGTGGGAGGTGGAGGGAGAAAACAAATCTTCCGTTGAAAGCAAAACGATGGATATTCTGGCCCGTTACAATTAGCTCAGGTGGGGGAGTTAATGCAGGAAGAAACGCGCAAGCGAGGTGGGATGAATTCCAGGTCGAATAAGTCCAAGGGGTGGGGTGGAAAGTGAGGAAGTTTAAAAAAAAAAATAAAAAAAAAAATAAGGCCGAAAACTGGTTTGGGAGTTGCTTGAGTGATGGGGTGGTGAGACCTGGGAGCCCCCTCTTGAAAAAAATTTTTTGTCTTAAATTGTCCTGTCCCTGGGAGCATCCTCTTGAAAACATTTTTGTTTTCAATCTCTGGCCGGTGTGGGGTGGCCTGCAAAAACTCAGCCAAACTGTCGAAGCGAAGCCTTTGTACCAAACCAGCGTCCCTCTGCTGAAACGGTTTCCTTGGGAGAACTTAAAGAAGCAATCTTTTTAAATCGGTGGCCTACCTCCCTTAATCTGCTATAAATCACCATCCCTAAGCAGATCTGTAGATGTGTCACCAAAGTTTCTCTCTTCGTTTGTCTGTTCTTCTCTCTCCCTCCTGTCCCCCCCCCTTCTCTCTTAAGTTTTCTGTGTTCTGACTCCAAGGGGTTTCCGAATCATTTCATAGGAAAATTTCATTCAGGCAAGCAAAGGTGAGTCAAAAGGCTGTAGGTAAATGGACCTAATCCACATGATTAAGCAAGGTATTTTCTAACAATCTGGTGTGTAGGATAATCCAGAAAAAAAAAAAAAAACTTTAGAAAGCTAGGAAAATTCATGGAGGATAAGCTTTGCCTACAGTAGAGCTATTGGCTTGAAATAGCACATCCATCTACAGGGGCAGTTTATGACTCTAGCCAAGGCTCATTTCAGAAAAGCCAGTCTTTCCCACAGTCTCTCCTGCATGAAATTTCCAAAACTTCTGGCTACCTGTGCATGTGTGGAAATAAGATGCAGGGTCCAGCAAGGCTGCTCTCATCTCTCCCACTCCCCCCCCTCTGCTTTTTAAAAAGGCTGCATTAGGCAAATTAGCAGTGATTCCTATCTATGCCTACTTTAAAGTAAATCCCTTTGGTGTCAGTGGCATTTACTCCTGGAAAAGTGGACTCAAGATTGGAATTGTAATTACTTGTAATAATTTACATTGAATAGTGGTACAACTAAAATCTTATACTTAATGTGTGAAACCTATAGACATCTATTGTTGCTATCATCATCATCATCATCATCATCATCATCATCATCATCATCATCATCATCATCATCATCATTTTACATTGCATGGATTTTCCTTAACTGATCTTTTCCGAAATGCTATTGCTCAATTTACAGACTTAAGAACTATCTGTGAACATAATGTGACTATTTACTTGAATCATAGAATATCACCTCCCCCCCCCCACAATATTCTACCAGTGTGAGTGAATAAACATATTACACAATACACATGCACATGCACACAGACACACACAAACATATACAAATTACAGCCATTGTCGAATGCAAAAAAAAAAAAAAGTTGTAGTTGTTCTATTGAAATCAATACAACTCAAGTTTGCTGTTGCCTTTTTACACTGGTCAGGATGATAAAAACTTGCTGATTTGTGCCCAACATAAATGAGCCATCTGCTCCCATCCATCAGCTGCCTTTTTTGTATCTCAAATGCAGTGTTAGTAGTTAGAGGCAAAGTTACCCACCCACACCTTAGTAGAGCCTGTGCAGTTTTCAAAGTTTAAATGGTCACATGCTGCTGGCGAATATGACACAGGAAGAGTAAGTGCCTATGATGCAGGGACGGCATTAGGATACTTTTTGTTGTTTTACGTTTTAGTCTTTTCACACCGTTCTGTGCATAAGAAAATCCTGTTTGCGAGGATGTAATATTAAAGATTACATCCTCGCAAACAGGATTTTCTTACGGTGTGAAAAGACTAAAACGTAAAACAACAAAAAGTATCCGAATGCAGTCCATTCAGTGAACATATACTGCCTGCTCAGTTTAAAAAAAGTTTGAATCCTTACAATCGTAGTAAACAGTTTTTAAAAATGAACGGGCTTTGTCTGATGAAAGTGGTGAATCAAAGCTGAGTTTATGGGGTGTCAGTGTCAGTGCCCTTCTGTTTATAAGGGCTAATAAATGAATATATTAATTATGTTTCAAGTTATATGGTTGCTTGGAAAGAGCTTCCACCCCAAGTATGCAGCATACTCAGCTCAGAAAATCCGAAAATCCTGACCAATTCCTTTCTAGCAGTACAGTCAAGACTTCTTATGTAGCTCAGCCATCAGCCTAATATTTTTTTTTAAAGTTCCTAATGTGTTCTTTATGAGTTTCCTTGTATGCCTGTCAACATTTGTAGAAACCAATGATTTCGCCAATAGGGTCAGTTGCCCCTTTGAGAATATTGTTTTATTTTAAATATCAACACCACCAATATCACCATCCCTCTCCCACTAAATAATTTATATCAGTATTTATCCCGGATATGTGATCGGTGGAGGAATAGAAAATACCTCCTGCTTATTTTCATCCATTCAAAGCCAGGCAGTTTACTATATACATAAATGCTCTATTGGCGGCAAGGCTTTTATGCCACAAATGATTTTAATATTTACATGAAACAAGCCATTACTTCTAACATAGGCATCAATGGTAGTTATGAAATACTGATTCCCCCCCCCCCTCCCCTCATTGCTCTCTCAATGTTGCAGTTGGCTAGACAGGAGCTCATCTCTTGGCTGTGGGGCATATACAGACCGTCTGCTTTTGAACAGTCCTTCTTTTGACACCTCCATGGTCCACTTCTCATTCCCAGAAAGGGAAGGGGGGGGGGAAAGTCTCAGGAGATGGGCCTCTTAAACTCTGCTTTGTGCATTACTTTGCCTGTGAGCAGGGACCACCAATTATAATTTATAATTTTAGATTTATATACTTAAAAATGTAAATGGTGAATGTAAAAAGCAGGTTTGCAAACATGTCGCTAAAGTACATTTTCCTTCAGGATGTACTTCCCCCCCCCAACACTCCTGCCCCCCCCCACGCCCCCCCACCCAGTAATCATGCAGCAGTCTGTAGCTGTATGGAGCTGAAGTTCAGCTAGACTGAAACAGCTACAGGTTTCTTGCCCCCAGAGACCACCCATTTGCTGAAATAAAATGCAGATTTTTTTTTCCTGGTTAGGGAATAATGGAATTGATGGCCAGGTTCCTCTGTGATCATTACAATTTATTCTTCCTTTCCTTTCCTCTTCCCCCGCTGTGCCCTATCCATACCCATACCCCCTCCCCTGCAAGACAAGCAGTTTGCAGAAAGATCCTTGAGAATAACGGAGAGAAATTTCCACCAACTTTCCAAAGGCTTTAAATGCAGGTTTTTTATTGTACTGTGATTTTTAAAAAATTGTTCCCCCCCCAAATCATAGCTTACAATGAAACCTACTGCTTGATTAATCAAAAAAAATGTTTTTAATGAGCTCTGCAAGTTTTATTTCATAGGACATATCTTAGAATGGTGTTTTGCTGAGCTCCAGAAGGTTTATTTTATAGGACAAGTCTTAGGAGAACACTAATGAAGTTCCAGTGACTTTTTTTTCCCATTCCACAAATATTTCCAATTTGTCTGCACCAATCAGGATAGAGCTTCTCACCCTAACCCAGCACATTACTGGCTGGTGGGTTTAGGAAAAATGAGCTATCTATCTATCTATCATTGCATCTATCATCTCCTTCACACTTTAGAGATGTGATCAACCCTAAATGAGGAAGATACTTAGAAGTTGCTGTTATGTGCACACACACAAACACACACACACAAACACACATGTACACACACAAAGTGCTTGTTTTTTGCTGGATAGAAAGGAATTATTGGTGCAACAGTCTGTGAGTTCTCCATATTATATTGTTTCTTTAGCTTCAGGAGGCATCTTTTAGCCGCCATTATCTGCATTGTTATCAGTAAAGATAAGGGCACTAGAATCAGTGGTGGGATTCAGCCAGTTCGCACCACTTCGGGAGAACTGGTTGTTAACTTTCTGAGCAGCTTGGCAAACTGGTTGTTGGAAGAAATCATTAGGGCAGAGAACCGGTTGTTAAATTACTTGAATCTGACCACTGACTGGAATGAATATTTCAAAGGGAACAAAATATCAGGACCATATTTTGTTATTCAGGTACTGCATGTGCAACCTTTGCCACAGAATTTGAGAACTTCATTGATTTAAGAACATCACTGGGTCTTTTGATCCTGGCAGGAATCCAGAATAAATAGGAACATATCAACAGCCAAACTTTATAATATATATATACACAATACACTTATAAACACACACACACAACCATATTTAATCATTTAATCAATATATTTAATAAATTGATATGCTAGTCTTGGTACTGATGGGTATCCACAGCTAATTAATCCAAAGGCTCTCCAGATGAGCTAGATTTGTTTTACTACTTCCAAAAACCCATGAGAAGTTTTTAAAAGAGAGAGAGAGGGAGAGATTGAGAGAGAGATTGAGAGAGAGAGAGAGAGAAATTCTGGGGAAGGAAGGAAGGAAGGAAGAAAGCATTTCTCCCCCCACTTTTTTTTCTTTAAAAATAGCAACTAATAAAATCTGAGCCAGTGGGAGGAGATCCCAGAGGAGAGGATATGGAATTGATTATTGTTACTTATTATGTCAAATAAGCAAGCATTATTCTAACTGCCCCAACCCCCCCAGCCTCCCAAAGTCACTTTTTGAGTATAACCTCGAGTCAATGTTCAGAGCCCAAGAGCACCGGCATTTTGCTTGCTGGTGTTGAAATCCTACACAGTCAAATCGCTAAAATAATAAAATAAACTCATCATCATCATCATCGGGCAGATTACAGATGTCAGCTCTTTAGTGCACATTGAGCACCACATTTGCAGATCATCATTCTGGGAGACCGCCTTTGTTTTCCACTCAGAAACACTGAAACCCCAAACTGGGCTGTCTCTGTTTAAGGTTCCTGTTCCTTTTTTAGCAGCGGTTGCCTAAGGAAGGCAGAGGAGCGTCCTTCCTACCTACTTAGGGGGGTTTGCCCTTAGCACGTGGTTGAGGAGGGTCTTTTCTCAGCAGTAAGGACTGGAAGTGTCTCTGGATTCCTTTCACACGCATTGCACGGTCTCCAAGTCTCCTTCCCCACCCCTTCAATCCACCCCTTGCATCCGACAAGGACGGGACATGCACAGGGCTCTGCAGGAAGATGACCAAAAGGCCTCAGAAGACAGCTGGTGCCGAGTTCTCACTAGGAGGCCCTCCTTTAGCCAGCCGCACTTCCCAACCTCACTGATATCCCTGGAGGAGTCAGAAACACCCACAGGGTCTTCAGAGGGCTCCAAAGGTTCCCGACGACGACGTGCATCCCTGAGACCTCTAGGGAACAGTCATGATGAGACCTCCAGGTTACGGCAGCTGTCATTGGTTACCTCTTCCAGTCCTTGTGACGCCACCACCACCAATGGCAGTATCAAATCGTGTAGCGGCCATGTACCAAAACAGGTCTTCCCTTGGATGAAGGAAACAAGGCACAGCGCCAAGCAGAAGACCCACCATCCTTTTTCAGGTACTTTCTTTTCACTGTCATCTTCTCCTCCATGGGAATTCTGGGAGCTGTAGTCAAATAGGGGACCAAGTTGGGGAAGGTTGGCATAGACAATAACTTTCCAAGTAACTGTTCCTATGCTGCACTTTAGGCATTTCTTTCAACTGTTTGCACCCAATGATTTTCAAAAGACACTTGTTTCTTGGTGCTACCCCATCCAGATCTAGCCACATACTGGGTGTAGCTTCCTGGCTTTAGCGGCTAAATGAAGACGTGTGCTTCTAGATGAGTGTCTGGGAAGTATTTCCATGTTTTTATTTATTGACTTGCAGCTAAAATCGCAAAATTCTAGATTCACTTGAATCTAGAATTGCTGCCACCTGAGTGGAGTTTTGCTTTATAAGACACATATTTTTATTTTACCGCTTGCCCTAATAACATATTGCTTCTTTGTTTTTCACAGAAAAATCTAAAGTAATACTCATATGACTGAAATATATTTTTATAGATCTTATATATTTTAGTCAGCACAGGAAGTCTTTGTCTTTTGACTGGTTGCTTAGCAACCATTTGAAGTTCCAACAGACCCCCAAAAGATACTTATGACCCGGATTTGAACATGGCCACCCCACTCCTGCAGACACATGATCACATTTTGGATGCTCTGAAATGGCCCACACTTACAGCTGGTTGCAGCCTTCCACAGTCATGTGACAGTGATTTATTACATTTTTGCTGGAAACCAACATTTACTTCTGTTTCCAGCAAAACATACCCATTGTGGACAATGGGTTCACTCAATGTCCATGGCATTCGCTTAATGACTGCGATGTATGATCACCACGTTTACATAATGACTGCCACAAAAAGGGTCATAAAATTGGATGCCCTCTAGTGATGATCCGCTTAATGACTGCCATAACTGAGGACCCTAATTCCAGGCTCAATTACAGTTGTAATTTGAGGGCTGTCTGTATTACATTTTGAAAAATCTTTTTGATTAGGTACTCATTAAGAGTGTAGGAACAAATAACATGATCTAGATCAGGGGTGTCAAACTCAAGGCCCGTGGGCTGGATCCGGCCCGTCGGGTGCTTAGATCTGGCCCGTGGGGCTGCTCTGGAAACAGCAAAGGACTGGCCCATGGAGCCTCTGCCCAGTGAAAATGGAGCTCGGGAGGGCTGCAAGCGGCCGCCATGAACTCCATTTTTGGTGGCAGAGGGTTGCAGGAGGCCATTGCAGCTGAAAATGGAGCTCAGGAGCCCATTTTCACTGGCACTCGGGCCACCACAGGTGCCCCCTGACACACATGATGTTGAGATGGCCACACTCACCCTGGCCACGCCCCCCGACACCCCCCCTCCGAGGTCAAACACAACCCTGATGCTGCCCTCAATGAAATCGAATTTGACACCCCTGATCTAGATACACAGCGGGGCTGAACACTGTAAGTATAAATAGATAGACTGAACATAATTTCCATTTTCTGTAAAGGTTAAACAGATTTTTTTTTTCTTTTTTAGATGATGTTCATAAGAACTCAGAAAGTTCCTTTATGGTACTGAAGAGTTTTCAGCTTCAGACTCTTAGGGGAAACTTACCATTTTAATGAAACACACATGAATCCTAATAAGCACTTTTCTCCAACGCTCATTGTCTATGATTGGTCCCGGCTCTTTGGCACCAGTTTATAATTTTGTCCTTGGCTTTTCCCTTCTCTCAAAACAAGTTATAGTAATCCCATCCAATCATAGATTATACGGCAGGTGCGACATTAGGGATATGCAGTCATTTTGGTTTAGCTGAATGAATATGAACTTATGAACAATAATTCTGATGATTTTAAAAATTGTCAGGGCTGGACAAATTTATGAAAAACAAAATAACTAGTGGCCGTTGCCTATGATGGGTCTATGCTAGTGAGAGCAAACCTTTTTGCCATCGCTGCCAGGAGAGGGGGAGGGGGGTGCGCGCACGCATGCCCACAGCCATAATTCTATGTGCCCTGCCCCCGCGCATGTGCATATGACCCCCCCCACTCCTGGCATGCGATGGCCCGGTGGGCCCAGTAGGTCTGTTTTTTGCTCTCCCCAGCCTCCAGAGTCTTTCTAGGAGCTTGGGGAGGGGGAAAACAGCCTTCCCCAACCCCCAGAGGCCCTCCAGAGGCCAGAAATGGCCCATTTGCCAACTTCTGGTAGGACCGGAAGGCCTGTTTTTTGCTCTCCCCAGCTCCAGAGCCTTTCTAGGAGCTTGGGAAGGGTGAAAAAGGCTTTCCCCACCCCTCCAGAGGCGCTCCGGAGGCCGGAAATGGCCCGTTTGCCGACTTCCGGTCCCACAGGAAGTTGGCAAACAGGCTGTTTCCGGTCTCTGGAGGGCCTCTGGGGGGTGGGTGGGGAAGGCCGTTTTTGCCCTCCCTAAGCTCCTTGAAAGGCTCTGGAGCCTGGGGAGAGAGAAAACTGGGCCTTTCCCTTCCCCCTGAGAGGGGCGCCAGAGCTGAGCTCACGAGCCCTCCGATCTGGCTATGCAGCCTGCAGGCCATATGTGTCACACGCTGGCCACGCCCATGCCCGGTTTAGCGAAGGGGAAAAAAGTCCCAATACGTCATATGACATGGGCATGACGATACCAGTTTGACAGCCCTGTTCTAGACATATTGTACATTCTAATGATACCTTGCTGGGCTCAAAACGTTAAGATGGAAAGTATAGATAGCCCTTGATTTACAACCACAATTTAGTCCAAGATTTCTATTAAGTGAGACATTTGTTAAGTGAGTTTTGCCCCATTTTGCAACATTTGTGCCCACAGTTATCAAGCGGACCACTACAGTTGTTAAGTTAATAACGCAATTGTTAAGTGATTCTGACTTCCCCATTAAGTTTGTTCATCAGAAGGTTGCAAAAGGTGATCATATGACCTCAGGACCAGGGGTGAAATGCTCCCAGTTCGGACCGGATCGTCTCATCCAGTAGCAATGGCGGCGGGTGGTTCAGAGAACCGGTAGCAAAAATCCCTGCCCCCCCCCCATGCCCAGTTGAGCCGCACAATCATCAGAGGCTTTTTTTTTTTAAAGCATTTTTTCTACAACCTCTTTGGCCGAAAAAATGCTTTTAAAAGTAAAAAGAAAGCCTCCGATGATCACGGGGCTCAGCTGGGATCGTCAGAGGCTTTTAAAAGCATTTTTTCTACAACCTCTTCGGCCAAAGAAGTTGTAGAAAAAATGTTTTTAAAAGAAAAAAAAGCCTCTGACGATCAGGCAACTCAGCTGTTGAAACTTCAAATGGTCACTAAACAAAGTTATAAGTTAAGGACTTATCTGCTTATGATGTCTGGTTTCTACTTCCATCTCGAGTGATGTGGCTGGAATTCAACCTTTTCAAGACTTGTTTTCAAATTATCCAGTCATCTGAAAGCAGTCCATTGGAAATTTCTGGCTGAGACTTTCCAAACAATCTACAAGTAGTCCTCCACTTACAACCATTAATTTAGCATTCTAAGTTACAACAGCACTAAAAAAGTTACTTAACTCCAGTTGTTAAACTTCTGACCATTGCAGCAGCACCACCCCCCGTGATTTACATGAACAAAATTCAGGCACTTGGCAAACTGTCCTTTATTTACAATGGTTGCAACATCCTGGGGTCATGTGACTGCCATTTGCAACCTTCCCAACCGGTTTCCGATGAGCAAAGTCAACGGAGGAAGTGGGATTCACTTAACAACTTCATGATTCACTTAACAAAGTATAGTGATTTCCTTAACGACTGTGGCAAAAAAGCCCGACTGTGGATTAAAATCAGGTAATGTAAAGTTTCCCCCTGTTGAGTTGTATCCATCTCTAGGGGAGCGGTGCTCATATCCGTTTCTTAGCTGTGGGAACCAGCGTTGGCTGAAGACACTTTCCGTGGTCATGTGACCAGCATGAATATATCCTGAAGCACAGAGAACACTTTAATCTTCCCACTGAAGTGGTACCTATTTATCTACTCACATCTGCATGGTTTTGAACAGCTAGGTGGGCAGGAGCTGAGGCAAGGAACGGGAGCTCACGCTTATCGTGCAGGGCTCAGGTCTCGAACCTGGGCTGTCACCTTTCCAGTGTTTAACCACTGAGCCATCAGTTCATCAGGTACGGCTCACTTAATGACTACCTTGCTTAGCAATGGAAATTCAGATCCCAACTGTGGTTGTAAGTTGAGGTCTACCTGTACTGATAAACCATACAGGGAAAACTATGTCTACACTATTTATTACTTTTAGCTGGCAGCACTTTGCTGGCCCAGTAAATGTATATGAAATAATGATCACAACGTGTTTCCTAGCTTTTTAATCCAAGAGTAAATAGCATGTCCTGGTATTTTTCATGCCGAGTCATTAGTTTGGCTTAACACACCACATGAACATGTTCATCATTCGATTATGTGTAAAGTTAATACACATATATGGGTGTGAGCAACATTGCGTAGCTGTTACATGACATGCCCCGTTTCTGTGTTGATTTCGGTAGGATGAATATTCTGCAAGGCAATGAGTTTATTCAGAGTGCAGAATGGTTAGGGTTCAAGCTGAACTGAATGTTCATTCCATTTATTTAGACAGCAGCTCTCCATCAAGTTTCGCCTCGTCCAAGAGAATTCGCACAGCCTACACCCAAACGCAGCTGGTGGAACTGGAAAAGGAATTTCATTTTAACAGGTACCTCTGCCGGCCCCGCCGATTGGAAATGGCCCAGCTTCTGAGGCTCTCCGAGAGGCAAATCAAGATCTGGTTTCAGAACAGACGAATGAAGTACAAGAAAGACAGCAGGATGAAGGGCGCCGTCTTGGCATCGCCCAATAACCGCTTTGAAGTGGGTGACTATTATGGGCACGTGGAGGCTGACTACGAGATAGCCCCATCGAATTCCTGCAGCAAATCCTTGGAAGAGATTGACAGTTCAGCAGGGTACACAGGTCCTCTCTGTAACAGCCCTGTGACTTCAATCTCTTTGGACTATGGCCCTTTCTTTGGACCGGGAGAAAGCCATCCTTATGGACTTCCAGTTCTGCAAGGGAGCCCAAGAGCAATGGGAGAAAATTATATGGGAAATGTGCCCGGGGTTGACTCTTTCTTCAGCTACCCTGATTACTCCTCTGGAAACCTGGAGTACAGCTGTGCTGCTGAAATCCCAAGCCAACCCCAGCTTGGGCCATCCAACTCATATCCCATTTACACAGATTTAACCACACATCCTGTGCCTCAGGGAGATTCTCAGGGACCTGTAAATCTTATGCATCTGTGAGAGTTGCCTGGACGGAAGCAGAGCAGGGGAAATTGCTACAGTCCTATTATCTCATTAAAACAAATACCTCTAAGTGCAACCAACAGTATTCCTCCCTCCCTCTCTGCCCACCCATTACCTCCTATTTATTTAACTGTATTGAAGTAAAATTTATTGGCTGGGGAAAGGTAGAAGCCACTGTTGGATGTTTTACTCAAGGAAAGACCAGTTTGATTTTTAATAATAGTGATAATAATAATAATAAAACACCATCGAATAACAGCATCTGCCTATCTTGGGGATAGGACTCAATAGGTGGATAAAAATGCCAAATCCAGTCTAAACATCTGGCTGGTTGTGCAATGGATCATAATAATAATAGTAATAATAATAATAATAATAATCTGGTCTGTTTCTTACAAGAAACACATGTTGTAATATACTTTTATGAAAGATGTGAGATTGGATCTCAGCCATCCAGTAGCAGAAGCAGCCATTTGCCCACAGGTGGGGGAAGAAAGTCTCATCTGAGTTACTTTCGTTTTCCAGGCGTTGCTTTCCCTAAAATTAAAGAAAGTAATTAAAATTGGATACTCCCAAGCCTCGTTTTTTTTGCCTAGCCTATTTGAGAAGCTCAGGGCCTTCCTTTTTTATTCCATTTGTGGAACCTCCCTTTGTCGCTACAGTCATTTTGCTCTAATGGCAGGGATCTTTACACATTCAATGGCCAAACACAGACGTTTATTAACTAATTCCTCTCCACGACATGCATGTAACCGAGGGCAGAGTAAGCAACTGGGGGCCCTTTAGCAAAAACTGGTCCCCAGGAATTGAAGCAGTAGAAGCAGGCAGGAGAATTAACTCTTTTCTCCCTTTCTTAAACGTTTGATAAGATATTCTTCTGACAAGTTCTCTTCCCTTGGCAAGTTGTTTAGGGCTGAGGACAGGGGTGGGTTCTACTTACCTTTACTACTGGTTCGCAATGGGCATCTGTGCATACGCAGAAACACATCTGCGCATACGCAGAAACACATCTGCGCATACGCAGAAACTTCCTGATGACATCCAGGTCGGTGAGTGGAGCCTCCCGCCGGTTTTACTACCGGTTTTTGCAAACCGGTCCGAACTGGGGGCAACCCACCACTGGCTGACGAGCTTCGAAGTGTTTACCTGGAAACCTCAGTGGAAATGTCGACTTACATATCTTCTCCCCCACCCTTTTCTAACTTTTAATCTTTTCTTCTGGTCTCTTTCACTGAGGAACAGTCCCAGGAGGCAGGAAAGATGCTAGGAAATGTCCTTTCTATTCATGAAGAACCAGTGGAGTTCAGCTGAAATGAAATTTCACCGGAGGATTCCCTTGAATTTGGTCATTGCAAAGGAAAATCTGCAGGGGTGGATAGCAGGCTATGCGATGTCCAGATTCTTCTTTTTTTTTTTTTTACTGAGAATACCCCCAGGTAAAATGAAAAACCCCAACACACCCACCAAGAATAGCCTCTTAAACCCTACTCTCCTGTTTTGTTATGATCTGCCTCCTATAAACATCTTCAGACAAGACTAATGCTTCTGCAGCAGAGATAGCTGGTTGTATATTTTCCTACCTTTTTTTTTTTCCCTTTTCTCCCCAAGCCCAGCTGACCTTAAGTGCCTAGGATGTAAGCAGCCAATTCTGTTCCAAACCAACTTAACTTAACCTTAAGGACCCTTTTTTTTTTTTTGAGAGAGAGAGAGAGAGAGTATTCCATTTCTATGGAGAACAAGGCCTTCCTAAAGCACCTTGTAAAATCTAAAAGTATAAGTCTGTATTTTAAATACCTTAAAAGAAAACCCACACAAACATCTCTGGTGAAACAGTGATGCCGTAGACTCTACCTGCTGTCCTGGGATTCTTGGCTGAGCGAATGGCTGCAAGCCGGGGTCATTGTCTCACTATCCGAAGCAGAATTGAAAGAATGCATCAGAAGGAGGAGAACTGACCAGCTGCTGCGAGCCACACTTTCGCTGCACGTTACACACCACTGTTGGTTTATTTTTAATGATCGCTTGGCTCTCTGGCATCTATTTTAATGTAGTGTTTTGATACTGGAAATAAAGAGACTTTTAAAAACCGCACCAGGAGATTTTCTTGGCGAAGGCAGCCTAGCTCTCCTCCATGAACACTGCTCTGTTGTTCTTAGAATCACTTTGCCATCTTGTAGTATACGAAGGGCTGGGCCTCACCCTTCCCTCACCCCCATTAATCATTGAGACAGCACATACTTCAGAAGGCCTCTAGCTCTTTCATCTCCCAGTTAGTATGCAGCTCTGAAGCTTAGTTGGCTTGTACGGTTCCCCCCCCCCCAACTCCCTCCACAACTGGCCCCTGCCTTCCATTAAACGGCTTCCATTTCCGGAGACGACAGGGTAAGCTAGACTTTCCAGTCTCCCTTGAAGTGGCTTCTGCCCAGCAAGGAGTGTTAGGTGTGAGGCTTCAACATAAGGATGGAAAGCCTATGTGGCAAAAAGACCCAGCTTCTACAGCGTGTGGGAAAATGGAGGGCAGCAACATAAGTCCAACCATAATATCTTCCCCACCCCCATCTGTTCTAACTCCATTGGATGTGAACATAACAGCTATTGATTTTGTTTCCTCAAAGAAGAAGTGAAAAGGTGGCATTATTGTTAGGCTTCAGTTGTGGGGCTTGCACTCCTCCTAGTTACAGGTAGCCCTCGACTCACAATTGAGGCCAACATTTCTGTTGCCGAGCGAGATCGTTGTTAAGTGAGTTCTACGACTTTTCTTGCCACAGTTCTTAAGTGAATCACTACTGTTGTTAAATTAGTAACACGGTTGCTAAGTGAATCCGTCTTCCCCATTGACTTTGCTTGTCAGAAGATCTCCAAAGGGGAGCACATGACCCCGGGACACTACAACCGTCATAAATATGAATCAGTTGCCAAGCATCTGAATTTTGATCACATGACCGTGGAGATGCTGCAACGGTCATAAGTGTGACAAATGGGGGTAAGTCACTTTTTTCAGTGGCATTGTAACTTCGAATGGTCACTAAACAAACTGTTGGAAGTTGAGGACTATCTGTATAAGAAGGCCAGGATGCACATGGATATCTGAATAATAGAATAGAAGAGTTGGAAGGGATCTTGGAGGTTTTTTAGTCCAACCCCCTGCTCCAGCAGGAGATCCTATACCATTACAGACAAATGGCTGTCCAATCTCTTCTTATCTCTGCTCTTTCACTTCCAATCATTTCTCTGGATGTCTGTAACCTCTCTGGCTTCCCACATTTCCATAAAATTATAAGGGAATACTCCCATGGGACTTTCTTCAAATTGGATAGCCAGGGAAGATACACAATTATGGAGAGATGCCTAGTTGAAAAAAAAAGAAAGTACAGCACTCCCTGCCTTCACAATAATATAAAAGTGACTACCCTTAATTCTACAACACCTTATAAATTAATTAGAGAAACAACCTTTTTTTTTTCTGCAGAAGAAAGACTACTACGAAATTCTGATGAGTATTAAAAGTAAGAAAACAATTTCTTTGGAAAATCCAGCTTTAAGCTTCACTCTTTCAAAACAATTATTATTTATTTGCTAACTATTGATTTCCTTTAGTCCAATAACATAAACACGGAAAAATGTGAAATGTGATCATGAAGATAGTTGAGGTTAAAGGTCTGGCACCTGCTGTTATTAAGCATCATTGTTGCTGATGCTGAAAAATTCATTTTATATCTTAGGAGTAAAAAAAAAAAAAAGAATCAGAATTTAAACTGAACAGTTGAATTTTAGTTTTCCATTATGAACATCAGCCAAAGTTTAATACTTTTGAGTCTTATTGATTCCATTAGGAAAAATATTCCCAATGAAAACAAAAGAAAGTCTCATCAATTTGACTGGATCAGTTCCCTCATAGTTTTTACTCCTGTTAACGAAATTTGAAAGGCAAATTTAAGAGTTAAAAATAGCTCATTAAAGCAACATTTTTCTACTTTTAAACATGTTTAAATGTTTGGTTTCCTACTTTGTCAGTCTAAAAGTACATGCAGACTAAGAATCTTCTCTCCAGACAGCAAAATAACTGCATCTGTATCCCACTCATGGCAGAGCCACTTAAGAGGTGGATAATGACAAAAGTGATGAATCAGGAATCCAAATGCCATAGGAACCTGCTGTAAAAAACAAAAACTGGTTATATTAAACCTCCAGAAAATGAAGAAGAAAAACATTAACTTTTATTAGATTTAAAGCAGAAGCTGTATGTTCAGTAGGGTACAGTAGTTATATTGGGCACTATACAAGAGAATTAGTGATGTGGCCCCTGAGAATCCTTCCAATTCTGCTTTTATGTGGCCAGACAGCAATACTGGAAAAAAGTGTCTATCTGAATTTGGAGTCAGATTCTGATTACTGATTGGGCAACAGGAACACATTGTTTTATGGGACATTCTCTGGGTGTACTTAATTTGCTTATTCTTAGTTTTACTCATGTGATGGAGAAAATAAGCTTAACAAGCAAAACAGAGACTATATACCCTCTCCCTCTTTTGGATATGACTAGGATCAAACCCAGTTCACCTCTTTGACTAACCCCATCAAACCTAGGTTGACTTTCCATGCCCCGGACAAAGTCTCCTGCAACCACTTTAAAACCAAAAAGTAAAGGCTCTCACTAGCTCACAGCACAGCCCAAGGGAGTTGCAACCTGGAGAAACCCAGTCTTCTATCTCCTGATCAGCTGAGGCCCACTGCCTTCCATCGCCTTAACAATGGCCTTTCCCAGCTTTGCTGCTCTCCTGAAAGGCCCATTTTGCCTAAAAGTAGAACTCACCTCAGGTACATAGGTGCAAAGACAAGAAGATGCTTAGCTTCACCAAAGGTTGCCAACAAATCAGATCCCTAGGATTTCCTACCTGGTACTCTGATCTTCTATAGGAATCTTTGCTTTCCCATTGTTTGGGATTCCTGTTTCTTTTAAAGCAGGCATCCAATAATGATTGAATAATTGGTTGGTTGTTTCTCTTCAGCGTTGTGCTCTGTCTTTCTGAATTCCCCACCACAACGCAATTCTTGCAATGCATGATAAGTCACTTGTGAAATTGTGGCCCATGGTTTTAATGTGATGATTTGAAGGAGAGAGCTGCCCAAATTGCTAGGGCTTCTCAGTACTAGTTAGGGATGAGAACCAAACGTGAGTAGAGGTAGCAGGAATTCACTTATTCTATTCATTTATTGTTTCTCTGGTCCACTGCACCCTAGGTTCTGTTCCTCCTGAATTATGGATTAATTAAGAAACATTCTCAAGCTGGATTTTAGAATGAGGGCATAAGCAGTTTACCGTAGCTTTCCAGTTCTCCTATTTATTTGTATTTGCTCACCCTCATTCTACATTACTGTTTTGAACGTGTACATTGATTTAAAGAAAATCTACATTTCTGTTTCTGTTCCATTTTTCTACTAGAAAATATTTAAAGTTATATCCATGGGTCAGCCCAAATTCTACTGATTTATCAGAGGCCAGTGAAAAACCCACAAGGTAAAGGAATTGGTAAAGGCAGGTTTATAGCCTCCAGAACTGGTGACAGGATAAAGCTCTCATTATTAATCATTACAAAAGTTTGCCACATTGGGACCACATTTGGAATTTGGGAGCTGACCAAATGGCTCCACGGTGAGGGAAATCATTATGATAGAACCACTAATAAAAAACCTATAAACTTGCTCCCCTCCATCTAGTCCACCTCCAATCTCTCTACTGTAGCTTATCTTTCACTCTTTTTCTGGGTTGGTGGACCACCATTCCGACAAAACCCCAAGCAACAGTTATTCATTGTTTATGTTCCCCCCCTCCAAAAAAAATAGTCCACGGAGCCGAGAGGCATCCTTGTAAAAATAAGATGATGCATTGCAGCTCGAAGATGTAGGTTCCAATTTATTTATTACTCGGAGTTAAAAGAAAGCAAAACAAGTAAATAATAGCAGCAGGTGACACCATGCAACGCAAGGAATGGACTTAGATGGAACTTTGGTGCCTACTGATTATCCAGCAGAAGTCTTGATTCATAGGGACCTCTTATGGGAATCTGGTGCACATTTCTCAAGAGCTGTTTGAGCACATGTTGCATGGCTCCCGGTTTTTCACAATCACTGAAGAGGACTCTATGAGAAGAACGCCCACCTTGGCATTTTGAAGTCTGTACCCTGTTGAGTCCAGTCGGCAGACCAGTGAGGGTGAACCTGTGACCATAACTCTTTGGGCAACATGCCACTGTTCATCAACACCCAATACTGAATACTGCTTTTTAGGGTGGCCTAGATGGAGGTGGGAGATAGAGAATTGTTTCTCTTTTGTTCGTGTGTGTGTGTGTATGTATGTGTGTGTGTGATAGAGAGAGAGGGAGGGAGGGAGGGAGGGAGAGAGAGAGAGAGAGAGAGAGAGAGAGAGAGAGAGAGAGAGAGAGAGGGAGAGAGAGAAGCAGACAGGCAGACGGGCAGACAGGGAGCAGAGTCAAGTTAGGCATTTTCCGAATTTTTGATATCAATGGACTAGATCTAAAGCAGGAAGAAGGTAGCGAATCTCTGCTTCTAATCACCCTTCCTTTTATTTTCCTTGGGTGGGAGAGGATAAGAAGAGACAGATCACCCTGAGGTTGTTGCGATAACCAACTCTCTTTTGGCAAAGAGCCCTCCTAAGAAAATGCAGAGGTTGCAGTCATTAAGTATCTGTGAAATAATAACGGAGGCAGCTTTGTGTGCACAAAATGGGAATGCGGCGGTGCAGATAAACGTAAAATACATTGCAGCAGCTTTGGCTGCTTCCAGTGGCAGCAGGCAATTATGATAACACAACTTTCCACTGTATTTTATTGTCTTCCCCCTTAAAAGATGAATGACCCACCCGTGCAATCTACATATTGTAATTAACTGATAAATATTTAATAAGGACAAGAACTTTATCTTTTCTGGTCTACCAACAAACTTGAGAGTTGGTAAACAGGTTTTTGTTGTTGTTATTAAAAAAGCACAGCTTTTTAAAAAATATTATTTTCCTTCATAGTTCAAGAGCTTGAATTTATTAGTATGTTTTTGGCTACTGCTTTAAAAGGAAG